ACTTTAGGACCTTGCTTGGCAAACACAAAACTGCAAGCAGCTTTGGTTCCAATGAGGCCATCAAACCCTTAATGGGGCAGTCTGAGTTCACTCTGATGCTGGCAGGAGTTCAGCATGAGAAACCATTCTGCACCTTCCACCGTTGTGTGAACAGAAACTCTCCCCTCTGGGTTTGAATGCTCCCAGCAGGCCTTAGGGCAGGCCTGTTCTGTTCTCACAAAGGTGGTGGTCAGCAAAACCAGCAGATCCAGTCTATTCGAAGAAACTCTTAGTCTCTGCCTGGGACTTCTGCCCTGTTTTCTCTACTGACTCACACGCCACCCCTCAGGTATCTTATTAGCATACAATATTTCCAATAGCAATAGCTTTAATAAGTACTGAACACACACACACACAAGCCAGACGTGGTGGTCACACTTGTAATACCAGTAGTAGATGCAGGAGGACCAGGAGGAGGAGCATCTTCAGGTATATAGTAAGTTCAAGGTCAGCCTGGACTAGATGAGGTCCTGTCTCAACTCTTCCCCCATTCTCTCCACTCCTCCCCCAAACATACATACCATATCGATGTAACAGGTGGCATAGCTGAGAGCGGCCTAGGGGAGGGGTCCACTCTCCCCTAGCATAACTCAGAGCAGCTTTGCATGAGTATGACCTGTGCCAAATCAGAAGGGCAGGCCAGAGGGAGGGCAAGCCCAGGCAATGGTAGAAAGAGAATATGTTTAGGAAGCTACCGTGATTTGCTTTGACGGTGGGGAGTATTATAGAGTGGAGAGTCACGGGAGAGAACATGCTAAACCAATGGCTGCCAGATTCTACACAGTACCAGGGGAGTCACTTGGTCACTGGTGAAGAGAATGCTTGCATTACGAAGGAGGAGGAGAAGGGTGTGTGGGCTTTGCCACAGATCAGGAGAGGGATCACACTGGGGATCTCAGGGAGGGAGGATTTGCTTGTGAAGTCTGAGATGCTCATGGACCAATCTGGAAATTCCCGTTAGGTCTGTTTAGAAAGCTCTGGCCTAAGTAGCAGATGAGCAGTGAGGGATGCTGATGTGAGCCCTAAGGGATGCTGATGGAGAGCTTTGAGAGCCGGGTAGACAAGTGCCATAGACAGGGAAGAGATAGGGAGCATCAACAAATTTTTTTTTTTTTTTGAGACAGGATTTTATGTGTGCTAGGCTGGCCTTGGTCTTGCTGTGTACCTGAAGATGACATTGAACTTTTGATCCTCTTGCCTCTACCTCCCCAGTGCCTTGCCAGGCAACTGTTCTGCCACCTAGCTACATCACCAACCTTTGTATGATTGATAGATTATGATAAAGTAGAAAAAAGGACTCTCAGGTATCATAAGCAAGTATTCTCACAGTAAACCACACCCTCATCTTCAGCCTTCTCAATTTTTTTTTTCTTCAAGATAGGGTCTCACTATGTAGCTCTGGCTGTCCTGGAACTTGCTCTGTAGTCCAGGATGGGCTGGAACTCAGATATCTGCCTGCCTCTGCCTCCTGAGTGCTGGGATTAAAGGTGTACACCACCACTGCCAGACTCCTTCTCATGTTTAATTTTTTGCCTTTTACATTTTTTTATTTTACTTTATGTATGTGTGTGCACATGTGTAATGTACAAATACAGGAATCTTGCAGGAAAGGGTGTGGATCTCCTGAAACTATGGTTAAGGATTAGTGCTAGGAACCAAGCCCAGGTCCTGTAAGAGCAGTAAGTGCTAACCAGTGAGCCATCTCTCTAGACCCTGCTTTGTTTTGACCCCGCTTTGTTTTGTTTTTGAAAACAGAGTCTCCCCGGGCAGTGGTGGCGGCGCACGCCTTTGATCCCAGCACTTGGGAGGCAGAGGCAGAGGGATTTCTGAGTTCGAGGCCAGCCTGGTCTACAGAGTGAGTTCCAGGACAGCCAGGGCTATACAGAGAAACCCTGTCTCAAAAACAACAACAACAACAAAAACAAAAACAAAAAAAAAAAAAGAAAAGAAAGAAAACAGAGTCTCAGGGCTGGAGAGATGGCTCAGTGGTTAAGAGCACTAACTGTTCTTCCAGAGGTCCTGAGTTCAATTCCCAGTAATCACATGGTGGCTCACAACCATCTGTAATGGGATCTGATGCCTTCTTCTGCTGTATCTGAAGAGAGCAACAGTGTGCTCATATACATAAAATAAATAATCTTTTTTTTTAAAAAGAAAGAAAGAAAGAAAGAAAGAAAGAAAGAAAGAAAGAAAGAAAGAAAGAAAGAAAGAAAAAAAACAGGGTCTCTTGGAATGCAGGTTGGCCTTGAGCTTTATGTGCAATCAGGAATGACCTTTAACTCCGATTCTCCAGCCTCCTAGGCCCAAGCACTGGGTTTTAGCATGAACCGCCATACACAGCTCCCTTCTTATTGTTTAAGCAGGTAATTTGCTGGGGAGTGGTGGGGCATGCCTTTAATCCCAGCACTTGGGAGGCAGAGGCAGGTGGATTTCTGAGTTTGAGGCCAGCCTGGTCTACAGAGTGAGTTCCAGGACAGCCAGGGAAACCCTGTCTGAAAGAAACAAAAACAATTTCAAAAACAACAATTTTAAAAAAGCAGGTAATATTTTAAAAATTCTATTCATTTTTTTTTTTTTTTACATTTTAACATCTTTGAAGTCAAGAGAATTTTAGTTAGGCTTGCTACAGTATAATGATAGGTATTTTTCCTTAACATATAATAAAAATACATATTATATTTATTTTATTTTTTTAAGATTGTTTTCATTTTAGGTGTATAAACAAATGTCTCGTCCGCATGTAGATATATGTACCACATGCATGTCTGGTGCCCACAGAGACCAGAAGAAGGTACTGGACCCCCAGAATTGTAGTTTTTAAGCAGTTGTGCCGTGTGGATACTGGGAACAGAACCTGGGTCCAAGAACGCTTCAGTGCTGAGCTGTCTCTAGTCCCTAATATTATATATTTAATGGAATACAATAGTACTTACCTTAAAGGAATATTTCAGTCATAACAAATTCATATAAAATGCTTGGGACTGGGAAGACTGGTGGCACCTGCCTCTAATCCCAGCTATACAACAAGACTGTGTCCAAAACAAAATACAAAGACATGATAAACAGAGAGGTTAAAAGTGTCCAAGGCCCAGTAAGAGCAGACCAAGGATTTGAAGTCAGGCAGCCTAACTCCAAAAACCAAGCTCATCACAGGCAGTGAGAGGCCTGCAGCTTCAGGACCCATGTAACCATGGAGACTGACTTGGGTTCCAGAGGAGCGTTCTCAGCCAGGTGGAGCATCTAGGAGCCTAATGTCCACTCTAAAAGGTTCGTGGTGGGCTGGAGACGGCCAGAGGAGAAGGGGAAGACAGGTCCTGAATAATGGGTGCTGGTGTTGATCTATGAATATTGGGCAGGAGAACAGGAACAACTGTAAAGTATTGATCCTGGAAAGTGAGGCTGAGCATAGGGACGTACAGGGCAGCTTCCATCCGGAACAAAGCCGGGCCACCTCCCAGGTCAGGACATAGAAGGGTTTCTTATTCCTTTTTGGGCAGTGATGCTGCCTGTTAACTGGTGGGCATTCACTGTTGTCAAATTAAGTATCGGTTTCCCTATGATCTTGGACACGTTTGCGCTCTCATGGGACCTCTGTCTCTCTTCTCTTCATGTACGAAAAACAGGATTGTCTAGAATGTGAGTGCCAGATGGGGGTACACTCCCACAATCCCAGCTCTTGGGAGGTAGAGACAGGAAGGTCAGAGGCTCAAGGACATCTTTGACCGTATAGCAAGCTGAAAGCCAGGCTAAGCTGACAAGAACCTGTCTCAAAAACAAGAACAATGGGCTGTAGAGATGGCTCAGCCAGTTAAGGAGCTTTGTCACCAAGCCTGATGATCTGAGTTCAGTCCCCAGGACCCTCATGGTAGGAGAGACTTGATTTCTGCAAATTGTTCTCTGACTTCTACATATGTGCTATGGCCCACATAAACCTACACACACGCGCACACACACACACACACACACACACACACACACTAAACAAAATTTAAAAACAAAATCTGGGACTGGGTATAATGGCACACAGTTTTAATCCCAGCACCTCTAGAGGCAGAGGCAGGCAGATCTCTGTGAGTATGAGGCCAGCCTGGTCTACAAAGTGAATTCTAAGACAGCCAGGACTGTTTCACAGAGAAATCCTGTCTCACAAAGAAGCTCTGTCTCAAAAATTAAAGAGGAAAGGAATGGAGATCCGGGTGGTTCTAACCCGGGTGTACATCACGCCAGCCAAGGCTTGTGTGGGACGCTGTTACTCATCCAGGGGGAGGAGCATACACATGGAGGCTGTCCAAGCCACTCCAACTGTGCCTTCCAGACACCCAGCCTGAAAAGTAGGTAGAGGCTGGGATCCTATCTGGGCTCCACGCTTCCATGAGAACTTATGGCTGGTGACTGGCCTCTCTTCATTTTAGATCTCCTGTCTTCCAAACCCCAGACCCCTGATACAAAGAGGAATGGCACCACCAGAGTTTCTGCACCATAAATTGTTGACATCAGGACAAGATTTTCCTGTGTGTCCCAGGATGTCTAACAAGCGGCCTTGGTCTCCACCCACTAGTGCCAGCCACACATTCCTCCAATTAAAACAAAACTGACTCCAGACATTGCTAAATATCTATTTGGAGGGGGGCACCCCTAACTAGAATTCCTAAGAATCTCCATCCCATCTGCCTGCCAGTTGCAGACAGAGTTGCAGACAGAGCCAGGCAGAAATGGGAAAGTATCACACAACAGATTTACACAGGCCCACCAGGAGGGGGAGGCCCAGGCTGCACAATATTAATACAATGGAAGGACTGTATGCCAGCGGGTTGACTGATGTGGTCTCACCCCAGAGGGAGAGAGTTTTCCAGAACCCTCATTCCCGGATTCCCGATCAGTCATTGGAGGGCCTAGAGCAACATCTACAGGCCAACAGTCCCCCGCTTTCCGGGAATGGACAGAGGGGATGTGGGAGTGGTAGTGGTAAGGGATTCTTTCCTTCTGTAGATAATTTCCTGGCTTCATCCACTGCTCTGTTTGATTGGTGGAACACAGAAGGGGAGGGACTTTTCAGCTGTGGGTGCTTGGGTTCCTGGAGGCCATTTGACACGGATATTGATAGCAGGAGTCTGAGGTTTAGGGTCTGAAAAACTGAGGCTTTGGGGCTGGGTCTAAAAAGTGGCTGGTTCCTACCCTAAGGGATGTGGAAATTGTGGGAACAAATTTGTTGCGGGGCGGGGGGGCGGGGTCTGGGAAAGGTGTCGACGTTTTCACAAGTCCTTTGCTTGCAGCTGCAGGTACCTGAAAGGAGACAGAGGATGGGAGGCCTGAAGACAATCAGGGAAGGGGGTTGGGAAGAACCCACAACTCACTCCACTCGGAGGCTCAGAGCACCCAAAAGCAGGACAATTCCGAAGATACATAGAAGCAGAATCCTAGCGTCCCACAGATCGTGACTTCCTGCAAGGAACCCAGGAGGCCGTTGATGATCCTGTGGATCACACCAGGGAACCTAGGGGATCTTAGGAGGGTAAGGACTAAAGAACCTGGGAAACAGCGCTTTTGGGGCCAACAAGACTCCTCCTTGCCCTCGCAGGTGGAGCAGTTGTACAGGATGGTGCTGCCCCCTGCAGGAGACAACAGAAGCAGCGCTGGCAAGCGAAGCCACGGCCGCCTCCAACCCTTCCTCCCAGCCACCCACGTTCCTCAGGCAGTCGCCCTACTCTCTTCACTCCCCAGGAGGCTCCACGGCCTTTTCTTTTACTCACGGCAGACAGGAGCACAGAGATCTGAAATGAAAGGCAAGGAGGAGTGGCTGACCTGTTCAGTCACTCCCCACTTGGCTACAAATCCTAGGCATCCTCTTGATGCCCTCCCCCATCAATACCTTCCCTGGTGTACTGGGGGATCTTGGTCTTCTGAAGCCATTGCCAATATGATGGGAGCAAGGAGATGGATCTTTTTATCTCTGGAGAGGCACAGCACAGCCATATCACCTTAGACCTCATCAGAGCTGCCTTCCACACCCCCTCCCAGATCGGCCCCTCTCTTCTCCTCCCCTCTCCCCAAATTCCGTCTTGGATCTTCCTAGGTCCCAAGATGTCAGTTTCCCCCAGACCTCACCTATGACTCTCAGGACTCGGTGAGTTTTCTCTGTGATTTGGTTCATGGACACCTCATCTGTGGAGATGGACAAGCGTGAGCTAGAGTGGGCTCCAGAGTTTTTGGTTTTTTGTTTTCTTTTGTTTTTCCTATTTCCTAGGAAACAGAGTTCTTCCAAAGAGAGAGGCTAACGTGTCCACAAAGGGCTATGGACTGAAGCAATGACGGGGGAGCACAGCTAGGAACTCACATGCTAGCCCCCTTAAGATATAGGGTGACTATTGCTGAGATAACCTTGTGTGTCTGACATTACCTAAGGCAAAGGCCGAGAAATCTGGGGAAGCCCATTCCTTCCACTGTGGCTTCATCTGGCTATTGAGCTGTGCCAGGCGGTTTGGCAAGTTATGAGCTGGGAGACGACAAAAGATACAAGCCTTGGCCACGGCCAAGAAAACCCCACCTACAGCCAGCGCCCACATGAGGCCTGTGGCGGTGGGTGGGAGCTGGACCCCTCAGACCAGGGAAGAGTCAGAATTCTCTGAGGTTCGGATTCTCGCCCTTCTTGTAGGAGGTTCTAGACTGATCCAGAACAATGCCATTGTCTTACCCCCTGGCTCCCATGGAGCTGTCCCTGGGCCCCCAAGAACTGGAGGCTAAAACGTATCTCTAGGACGAATAAATCAGGGTTTCTGTTCCAAGGGGATAGTGGCCTTTACACATCTGTGGTTCTGAAAGCGATTTATTTTTCTTCTTGTAAGTCACAGTGATAGATGAAGGCGTTATGTGTGCATCCCGTCCACCCAGGAACCCAGAAATACTACCCTTCCCACATCCCCGATTCTCCCAACTCTATCTCCTCTCTTCCCAGGACAACCTTAGTCTTTACCCAGCTATTTCCTAGCAACAGGCTCATGGTTGTCTCAGCAACCAAGAGCTCCCAGAGGTCTCAGAGGCCCAGCTAAGCCCAGTGGCTTTTACCTCTCATAGGAAGAGCCAAGTGACTCAAACTCAAACAAGGCCCTCCTGCCTACGTGGCGATGCAGGCATAAACACACATGCAAACACTCACACACCCTATGGTTAAACTAAATCTAAATCTGTTCTTACACATACCACAGACATACCTGAGCCTGGAGAGTTGCTAAGCAACCCCAAACAGGCCTGGACATGCCAAGATCACGGAAGGACCAACACACAAACACAGGAGTCAGCAGCACTGATGGGAACCAAGACACCAGGGAGCTAGGCATCCTCAGATCCATTAGCTGGCATGTACATACACACATAAAAGAGGCCTCTGGACACTATGGACCAGCCCCACTTCTGTACGGGATCCTCCAAAACATCTTGGAATTCCAGAAGGGAGCTCTAGCCTCCATGCTGATGGAGGTTCTCCTAGCTCCCCTATATCATCCTAGGGTGGGGTGTCCCACAGTAGGTGGCTTGGGACATAGTAAAGAAACCTCCCAGAGTGTCCTGGCCTCTTAATGGTCATGGTAGGATAAGGTGCCAGCTCCAGTAGGGAAAACCAGTCTAGAGAACAGATTATATTTGATAATTCAAAGAATGTCCTCCCACCTAGTGCTCAACCCTCCAGAGCTACGCTAGCTTTAGCCTGGGCAAAGAGGTGCTTCCTTACTTTTCCACACCTCTGAATACAGAGGACCCATCTTCAAGGAAGAACAGGCTAGAGAATCCACGATGCTTTTCCAGGATACAACCCAGTGTAGATCTTCTGGACCATCCATGAGTCTTGGGGGTGAGGGCAGCTCGATTTAGAAACCCCAGCTCTAGGCTCCAGCCAGGTGTGGTGGGATCCCTGACTCTCATAGCTCCCACACCAGAACTAGAAAGAGGTTGTAGATGAGCCATTAACCCCTTGGCTGACTCATTCCCCCTCCTCTCCACAGTCAAGTGAAGGGTAGCATCCTCAGTGGCGCACGAAGCGCAAGGATCTAGAGTTTAGAAGGTCTTCAGGGTCTGGGAAGACAGAGTCCAGGCGGAAGCCATGTTCCAGAGCCACCCGGAGCACCTCCTCCAGGAACGTAGCTGTGTTCACTACCTCCCGCCGATCTTCTGGCCCTCCAGTCCACAGTGGTTGCAGCCCCAGTCTTTGATACTCGACTTCAGGGAGTTCCTGGGGTCGGGAGGCCCACTCTAGCTGAAAATGTGGACCTCCTTCTGCCCTGTCCCCACTGGCCATACCAAATCTGTTGCGCATGGCAGCCAGACACTCAGGGTCAGTGCAGAAGAGGTTGGCTCGGAAGGTGTCCACTTGGACAGAGCTCAGCTCATAGTGGTGGGGGCCCCTCCGAGCAGAGAAGTGCACCAGGCGGGGGCTAACATCTACATCTGCATGGAGCAGGGCAGCTGTGGATGCAGGCGTACCCCGAGAGGCTTCCAATTCCCTAAGGGCATCCAGAAGGGGCCGGATCTGGTAGAAGTCAGCCTCTGCCTTAAGAAGAGCAGTTTCTCCATACCCACGAGGCAGGTCCAGACGGCCTAGCCGCAAGAAATTGAGGATGTGCCGGAAAGCCTTGCCATCCCTGTCGATGAAGTAATGGCCATCTCCTTGTGGGTTGAGATTGGCCGGCATTAGGGTGTCAGCCCTAAACATGGCCCCCAGCATGGAGTCTGGGAAACGTGTCAGGGTCTCCAGTGTAGTGGAATATAACGTTCCCCCCACATTTAGGGTCACGGGGCCCCCAAAGGAAGGGGGTGAAGAGGACACAGGAGGGGGGGAAATTTTGGGGAATATAGGAGGCAGACAAGGAGAAGGAAAAAGCAGATTTTCAGGGTTTGGAAACGTTGGGTGGTAACGTTCAGACTTGCTAAGTTGAAGGCAGAGGTTGGAGAACAAGACAGAAAAGTCTGTAGCTCACCCAAGCTACTTTGGTGGCGGTTGGGGGCTTCAGGACACAGAAATCCCCGAGAGGATGAAAGAACCGATGAAAAGAACAGAAGGCAGCCAGACAGGATCAGGGAGTTTTTGGTCCAAACAATTCTGATTGTGCGTGGTCAGCGATTCCCTCCTGTATACTTCAGACAGTGGGTTTCCGGAATTCAACCAGCAGGTGACGGTGGCGAGCACCGGTCGGAAGCTGAAGGGCTTAGCTTCTGAGTTTCTGAACTTTTGTAGTAGTAGAGTCCACGCCGGGTTTCGAGGACCTGTCCAAAGGCCCAGCCAGGGTTAGGGGCGCCTGTCCCAAAAGATGGAGGCGCAACTGATGGGAACCGGTGGCCAGCAGTTCTGTATGGCTGAGGAGAGACGATGCTCTCGCAGTCAGAGCTGAGAGTGTCCCAGGACTCTGTTGGGAATAAACAGAATCTCAGAACTCGGGCGTTACCGCCTTCCTGAGTTGTCTCAGCAGCCACTGAGGTCCTCTCCACCCCCAGGAAGTGGCCTAAGGGCAGCGGTCAGTGGCCCTTTAAGCGACAGCCCCGCCCCTTAGCGCCCCGCCCTACGCCCCCGTGGGCTGGCGGGGCTCTGTTATGGGTGGGAGCCGGGCCTCGCCAGTGGGAGAGATGGGGCGGACAGGCTGGACCGGCCGACCCGAGCGGGGGTGGGATGATTCACAGGCTTCGTTGCGGATGTGGCCGCGACGCCCCGCGTTCCCTGCAGGTGTGCATGACCTCACTATTACAAGTTGGTCGGGGCTGGAGTCTCCAGTCCATCCCTCTATTCTCAAAAAATCCAAGTCTCGTGGTTAGATCCCGGTCGGGAACTCCCGAGGGGGCGGATGCTGAGCCATGGCATATTCCGGATGCCTTCGGGCCATCCCGGCGAGCCCAGGTTCCCACGCGGTGGCTTCCCTGGTCGCCTGGGCTCGAAAGTCCCTCCAGCCACCGGGTGCTAGTCAGCCTCCTCATTTACTAGAGAAACCCTAGCCTCATGAGTAAACACGGCTACCCGCACCCGGGTGGCCAGTGTGCCACGCACCCTGCCGGGCCCCCAGGTGGCGCACAGTAAATGAACTGAGAAAGAAGTCAAGCTAAGAAGAGACTTTAATGGAGAACGTGCCACAGCATGGTGGGGAGGGGCCTGGAATCAAAGAGTATGGAGGTCGTGACTGCGACGGCTCAGTTTCTCTGGGTCGTCCGACGCCATGAGGGAGAAGTCCCGGAATATGTCGAGATACGTCTCGTCTCCTACGGAAGACAGAGGAAAGGCTGGGAGGTTGGACAGCTGGGCTACGCAGTAGGGGTGGTTCTGGCAGGGTAAACGCTTTAAGTGTCGGTACATCCTAAGCACAGCACCGGCACCTTTTCCTTTGTTCCAAAGGTCAGGCACGCTTGCTGTGCCCAAAACATGTTTGTTGAATAAACAACGGTATTAATGCATTGGGTACTAAGGGGACAGTTATGCTAGGACCAGCATTCCGGTATGGACCTGGGGTCGGAGGGAATACGTGGTTACTTTACCTGCCTGGCCCTGGGCCGCTTCAGCCTCCCTCATCTTTGCCAATCGTAGCCTGAAGGGTGGGGATTAGGAAGTAAAAGACCTTGCACTCTTCTCCAACTCCCCATCCTCTGTCCAACTCCCAATTCCTGAGCTGTATCATCCTTAAAAATGTCCACTAGTACTTTTTAAAAAAAAAAAAAAAGCTTAAATGCACGAACTTTTTATCCAATGTGAGTGTCCTAATATTGGCTCCCGAGATGAGATGAACTTTCAACATCTCACCCTACTGGTCCATGCACCTGCTCCACACCCCACTCCACACACCGCTCCCAGTCCTCACCCTCCAAGTCTGGTTTTTTGACATTAGTCCCACCCCAAAATGAATGGACTGCCTAAGCATTAGCCTAGCCCTCCAGCATTCTCACAGGGTTACGATGTCAGCATTGGCGGTTTCCATTGCGATAGTCAGGGGGTCCCTGCCTTCTGTGTCTCGAGCCCCCAGGTCTGCACCCCGTTTGAGGAAAAGGCAAGCGAGCCTAGAGAGGATAGCTAAATTTAGCTGCAGCCATCCCCCAGTTTCATTCCCAGAAAGCTTCCTCCCCATGGTGCCATCTCCACAGCCCCGTACCCTGTGTGGCCAAGAATGGTGGCATGGTGGAGTGGGCCCCGGCCAGTGCTGTCTGCTTGGTTCACATTTGCCCCATTTTGGAGGAGAAACTCACAGGCCAGAAGAGAATTCTGCATGGAGAGATCAAGAAGGAGATGGCATTTTTAGAGGTGGATTTTGGGATGTTTTAGGGAGGTGTAATCGAGACAACAGGAGGGTTGGAGTGTGGTGTCTGGGGTACAACGACGTATCAGGCTCGGCTAGCCATCTTCATATGCTCATATATTAAATCTATCCCAGGGCTGAGGAGATGGCTCAGTGGCTAAAAGCACTAGCTACTCTTCCAAAGGCGCCAGGTTCAATCTCAAGCACCCACACAGTAACAACTGTCTGTAACTCCAGTTCCAGAGGACCCAACCCCCCATATATATACATGCAGGCAAAACACCAATGCACATACAAAATTAATA